TGTGAAAATGGCCTCAGTTGAAAGCAAATTGTTTGGGCAGAGTGATGCCAGGTGACACAGAAGCTCCGGCTGGGTTGCTTGATCGGTGACGGCTGTTTTGAACTCATACTTCATACCTGTAGCCACTGAAAGATGGGCTGTTATGGGCAAACCCGTTAACTCTCCAATAGTTACAGGTGTAGTCAGAGGAAATTAAATTGTGTCTAACCAACCAAATCTAGGCAAATAACAGACGGGCTACTTTGACATTCATAGCTTAGCTTAGCTGATGCTCTGAGAGATGCTTCTAGGCCTACTGCCATGCTCAGGAAATGTAGAAGCTCAAGGAGATTCACAGAGGTCCTGCTGTGTGGTAGGGCAGAGACATGGCATATTTGAGACTGCTCAACGTGTGACCCGCATCCCAGTTTCTAGGATTAATGGAGAAAGGCTTAGTGCAGTGGTGTGCCTTTTCTGGTTCTCCAGGAGAATAAGCAGCAGCATTCATATGACATGAAAATGCTACATTTAGGGCCAGCATGGTGGTGAGGGCAAAATTTGACCACTACCCTGGAAACTGGTGACTCCCCTACTGTGTCTGGTGTAAAGAGAAGCAGAGAGGTTCCCCTGGTCTCCGTGATAACGCCCAGAGGAAGTTCTCAGACACAGACACCCATTATTCCCCCACTCAGGCTCTTCTCTTTCCAGGTGCCAATCAATGATCATTTATCCTGGCAATCCTGTTCTCCATAAATTAGACCAAGAGATGTTTGGGCTTGTATTTGCTTTTTGTTTTTATTATCAACAATCAGTTAATGGTACACTCTTGGAAAACTATATGCACATGTAGAAATATTTCCCCTTTTAAATAGAAGCATTCGTTTTAACCACATATAAATAAATCTGAAAACCCTGAAACATAATTTATGATGGTTAAATGCTCACAAACATATTTGAACATGAAAGGAAAATAAAAAATAAAAGCAAGGCTACATGCAATAGATAACCAAAGCTGATGCCATTGCATGAAGCCAGCCTCTCTAAACGCAAAGAAACGTAACAAATGAGAACCTTATATCCTCCATAAAGACACACCATAAAGACTACAAGGAGAGAAAACGTTATTTATACGTCTAACTAGAGTAGACAAGTTTGTATCAATATTAACACTATACAATTGAGTCACAGAACACAGTTGTAGAAAGACACAGAAAAGATGTTAAAGCATACCTGTCAACATAACTAATACCTAGGTTCTTGTGCCTGTTAAAATAAATTTTTAAAAAACCCTAACAAGAGATGCCTCAAAAGAGAGTGGACAAGGCTGTCATAATCTTCGGAATGAATACAATTCATTCACCAGAAAGGGATATAAGTCCCAGTCTAGGGCCATTTTGGACAGAGAGTAAGCATCTCCCCGTACATTAAGTACACAATCACACAAGGTTTGCAGCAACTGCAGTCAAAAGAGAACAAGGACAGAAATGAAAATCTAATCAATGCTAATCATGATAACAATAATAAGAGGATTGGTTATGCATAATGGTCAGGGCCAATTCCTGTTAGCACTCTGCAGGGCTGGAAGCATGGTCCAAGTGTCACACATGCATGACATTTCTCTACACTGGATTACCGAGCATTTGATCACTGGCCCCTGAACATGTAAAACTACCATTGATCAGCATTGGAGTGACGGTGTGATGGGAAAGATCCATCTGGTATTGGATCTTTAATTAGCCAGTTCACACATGCAAATCATCACTGGATGCTGCCATTACCAAGAGATGAATATGCCAATGTAAACCAGCACCAACTTGTTCATCATGCACACAAAGAAAAATGATTTGGCACGCCACTTGAAATCTTCCTAAGGTAGGTTGAGCCATGTCCCTGGCAACTGTCAGATCAGTTTAGGCCAACTGGTTCGTCTTAATGTGAAAAGAAAACTTTGGTAGGTGCATAAAGTTCAGTCAGTACAACTTGCAACTTTTACGAGGGCTGGCCATAGAAAGATTTCAACAAGCCTTCAAAATGTGCTCTGCTCCATAGAAAATACAGAGGAATCTGGTTAGGCTGCAATCTTAAAAGCACTCACTAGGGAGTAAGCTCTGTTGCTGGCGGTGTGTTTTATTTCTGAGTAAATATACTAGGATTACTCTGTTGAGAGCTTGCAAAACTCTCCTATTGTAGAACATAAAATCCAAATTCTTTAATGTTTAGAATGTCCACATTTGTCATATGCTAGCAAAGTTGTTAAATCTGATACCAAAGCATTAAGTTGAAAGTTCTACCAGCCTCACAGATGCATTTAGAAGCTATACGCTAGTATGAATCACAACTTGTTCACCCCGTAACTTTTATATCTAGTTAATGTCAAATTTGTTAACTAAAAGTACCTTAGTTCACTGTGTGCATCTGAATTCCTGTTTAATCTATGGCAGAACATCTTCCCTCTGCACATGTGCTGGTTCTCTTTCCTGTCTCCTACTTTAAATGTTCTGAGGCTCAACTGTGTCCCTGATAGCAAGTCCGGGCCTTCAACTTAAGCCTTGCCTTTAGTGGCAGAGTGGTACTGCGCCTCCCAACAATATGAAAAGGGTGGTTTAGGAGGGTCTGGTTCGCCAGTGGCTGTGCCAAATCACATGTGCACTGGAACGATCTGCAGTATGAACTGGAACCAGGAAGTGGCCACCAGCCAGCCACACTCAAAGCACATCAGCCCTAAGAAACAGCCTGGGTAAGTGGTGGAAAAATTACATTGCAGCAACAACAACAACAACACAACACTGGCAGCTCGGTGACAGTTTTCTCCTGCTAAGAGGCTGCAAAAGGGTGGGAGGGCCGCCCGAGAAGGCTGAGCTGCAGCATCTACTGCGCAAGGACGCTGGACACGCGGCAGCGAGGTGATGGAGCGTTACTTTTATTCTTATCTGAGACCGGCAAGGTTCTTGCAAGTCCCACGTGGCCAGTTCTTCGGGCGCCTTCTCTGCATCGGTTCTGCAGGGAGGGAAGGAAGTAAAGCTCCCGCACGTCGGCTGCGGGGGAACGCCGAGGGCCAAGCCGTGCGGTGGACCAGCGTCGCGCCCCGACTCGCTGCTCCAGGCGCTATCCCCGCCGAGCCGGACAAGGGCAGCAACCGCACGCGCAGGGCGGATGCAGGCGGCGTATCGCGAGCCCCTGCAGGGGGCGCCAAATCCTCGCTTTCAGCCCGGCGGCAATAGGCGGAGCGGCCGGCAAGACAGGCCCGGTCCCGCCCCGCGGCCGCCAGTTCAAAACATGCTGCTCTTGACCAAGGTGCCTTTGGTGCCGTTGGGTCTCTGCAGCGAGGAGAGCACGCTGGCGAAGGGCCCGCCTAAGGAATCCGGGATGGAGGTAATGGGCCCCGGTCCCGGAGCCCAGCCTTGGCCGGGCCCCGCCGCCGCCAAGCCGCCGGGCGCCGCGCCTTTGCCAGCTTCCGGCCCGGGCCCGCCGCCGCCAGCCCCACCTTGGCCCCCGGCGGGGCTGGGGCCGCCGCCTCCGCAGCTGGGCGCCGGGTTGGGGTTGGGCCCAGGCCCGCCTGTACTGTCTGGGTCGGTGCTTTTGGCTTCTTTGCTCTCATCGTCCCGCGACGAGTCCGATTTCTTCCCCGACGAGCCGTTCTTGGCTGCTGCCGCCGCCGCCGCCGCCGCCCGCTCCTGCTTGCGGAATTTCGCCCGGCGGTTCTGGAACCAGACCTAGGTCGGGGACGAAGAGTTGGGGAGGAGGAAGAAAGAGAGAGGGCAGTTCAGTGGACTGGACGGGAGGAGGGGGAGGGGATCCCCGCAGAAGGGGTGTCTCATCCCGAGCTGCCGCATCGTTTTGACAGAGCCGTTCTAGTTAATCCAGAATAACGTCCCGTCTGAGTCTGTATCTGCCCTGACGAAATGGGATTAAAGCCCCCGCTTTTCTCCCCAACGCCTGTTTTGAAAGGCTTCTGCATGCTGCGCCCCTGCTTCCGGAATCCTCAACACTGCTGGTTGTAAAAATAATGATCTAGATGGGCCAAGAGCCTGGTAAAACCATTGCTGGTCACTAGCATTGTTTTTGTACAGTTTGGAGGAAGTAACTTTGGCACTAAGTGAATGTGAGCATCAACCCCCAAACATGAAAATATTTATTCAGTCTCTACTACTCTTGGCTATCCAGTGTGGTGAATTAAATTTATCCAGTAGCTTAACTGTGGCCACAAGTAAGATCATTGCCAGGACAGCCTTGTTGGGTGGCCAGTAGAACTTTTATCCCAGAGTCTTACCTCATCGGGGATTGGGGACAAGAAAATCCTTAGCATTTTGTGGCATCTTACAGACAACCAATGTTATCTTGTGGTTACCTGTGCTCTGTGATAAGATCTGACTTGGTAAATGGTCTAGTAGATTGGACCCAGTATTTAAAGGGCGCTAACTGAATCAACTTGAGTAATTAATGCTAGCTCAAGGAAAGCATTCAGACAAACACAAGCATTCAGAACACACAACATTGCTGCAAGCTGTTGGGATGGCTATTGGTGCCAACAGCTATCCTTTGAAAAAAAGTGCACCTACAACTTCTAGCATTCTTCAGCCATCCATGCTGTCTGAACAACTGTAGAATTGTGCTCTAAGCCTGCAATCCCATTCTCATTTACCTGGGCCTAAGCTCCATTGTACTCAATGGGACTTGCTTCTGAGTGATATGTATTATGATTGAACATTAAGGCTGAAATTTTGTGCCTGATTTCCTAGATGTAAGTCCCATTGAACTCTGGATAGACACGCATAGGATTGTGCTGTAAATATCCAGGCTGGAAATCATCTCAGCAATGATTTCAGTTGCAGAGTATTTCCTCTTTCAGGTGATGACACAACTAAGTCACTAGAGTAATTTACTCCCTCCTATGTGGGACAATGGGAAAATGAAGTACTTCACTACTAATGTACACCTGGGGAGAATTGCTGTTTGAGAGCCAGTGCATAAACTAGCCCTTTATAACTTTAACCATAAGTGCTGCTGCTTTTGAGTTTCCTTGGCATTCTTACTAACAACTCTTGGTAGACCAGTGGGCTCCCAGTCTTCCTCCAACTTGGTGCTGTCCAAAGATGTTGAACTACAAGTCTGGGGAGTTGTAGTCCAGACCTTTAGAGGATTCCAAGCTGATAATCCAACCATTCTGAAGATGTGGCCAGGTGTGTTTTGTGCATGATTACCTTCAATGGGTTTTCCAGTCAGCAGGTAACACCAATAACCTCTAAAGCTTCCCAACAGTCATATGTCTTTGAAGTGCTTCCTGTTCTGTACTACGGGTGTCCAGATATCATTCCTATGCTCTTCAGCCTGTCTGTATGGTTATTCATTCTTTATTGTATCCAGTGTTAGTCTAACTTAAGTCCCACTCATTTCATTGAGTAGGACTAACATTTGCTACAACTCTGTGCTTTCCCAGGGCATGCTTTGGCCTGGGCATCTCTCTGGCTTGCTCTACAGATGTTTTGCTTCTCCAATCAACTCCTATGCATCACATCAGGAACCTGAACAGCTTTGCTGTCTTAGAAGTAAATCCCATTACTTCCTTTGCAGTGAATGCATATAGGCTTACATCATTATTTATTAACCAACCTTCCATGCTCACAACCTAATGCTCAAGAGTGATGAAGGGGTGGGATGTTTATGATGTGAAGATTTTTTTCAGATCCATGGAACCAATAAAGGAGGAATATATACCGGGAATACAGATCAGTTGATCACATGGTAGAGCATATTTGATTTTAATGTGGGACCCTTCATATTTTTAGAACATAGTTGTTGGCTGATATGCATGAAATCACATTATGTTTCCATAGACAAGAGCACTGCTGTCAAGAAGAGGAAAAGTCACTCTTGTTCAAAAATAATAAGGGACCCAAATATTTAGCTCAGCCTTTCTTAGCAATACTGTAACATGCTGACTTCCTCAACCATCCATTTGATACTGTTCAGCCAGCCAGGACCAAAATGGACAAGATAGTTATACTTATCAAACAGATGGCTCCTATAAGTGAGCCAAGCCACATGGGTGATGTACTGTGGCCACTGAAGCCTATAAGGAAATTTCTGTCCTGTCCAAGTATGTATGCTCAGTCAGAGCTGCAATTTCTAGGTACTTTAATGTCATGGTAAGTTTGAGACTTCTTAGATGCCACACTTTATGACTATTTCAGCAAAAATGCCCTCTATGACTGATAAAGAAATGGCTAGATATAAAGTTGATGACCAAACTCCTATTTCCCGGCACCAACAACATTTAGAACCGATTTTTTTGAATGGAACAAAATAGTACAGCCATTTTCAGCCTATGTTTCTCTGCCCACTGAATTAAAGGGGATACACTTCATGCTTTGGATCTCTCTCTCTCTCTCTCTCTCTCTCTCTCTCTCTCTCTCTCTCTCTCTCGTTACAAGTTCATTAAAAAAAAGTCTGAATCAACCCAAAAAGTCCTAGATGATCATTGGTTCTGCAATGTGACACAAGTTCATGCAGGAGGAAGTGGGATCATCACTGCTGCAGTTGCAACTGCTCAGAAGTAATTCACAAGGATGCAACTTAAAACCAACCCTCCCTGGGATCTTTTCCCTACCTGAACTCTGGCTTCAGTGAGATCAATTTTCAAGGCCAGCTCCTCCCTGGTGTAGATGTCTGGGTAGTGGGTCTCCGCGAATACCCTTTCCAGTTCCTTAAGCTGGGCGCTGGTGAATGTGGTCCGAATACGCCTTTGCTTCCTTTTCTCGTTCAAGCCTCCATGGTCGGTGAAGAGCTTGTAGGGGACTAAGGAAGGAAGGGAAAGGATGTTCCGGGGGAGATAAATTAATAAGATGCTGTGATAATCCAGACAAAAATATTTTTAAAAGGACTTCTGTAAAAGTATTCAAATAATGCCTCTACAATTAACTTGCAATGCTATCAATTGGATCAAGATATAATCATATTTAGATTAAGGCCACCGAATTCAATAGGACTTAAGTCAGTCATTACAAACTTAAATTTCACTGATTTCAGTGGGTCTGCTCTGAATATGTATATATATATATTGGTACATGGTAACTTACTGTCAGCTGGACCCGTTTAGGATGTGCTGTCAGAAAACTGACCCAAAATCGTGCCCATTTCATAATTCTGTTTCCTGGGATGACTAAATTTTAAGAATGAAGTCCCCCTTTTCCCACATTGCATAGGAAAATACAATCTGACACGAAATTGACACACAGGAAGGAGAATATGAATGTTGCCAATGGGTCACCCAAAATACAAGATACTAAACAGAAATAGAAATGGGAAGGGTGGGAAGAATGCCAGTTTTATGGTAACTTGGGATGGGTGAGGGTGAAGTGGAATGAAATCTTGCAATGCTTCCCCGTCAAAAGTGATTAATCACGAAACAGTTGGTGGCAAATCAAGCGCTGAACAGAATTCACACACTAAATGCAGATGGAAAGCGTTTGCACGAGAGCGTACAAATGTTACCTTCTAGCTAAGCTTAGCTTGGTTGAAAACCGAACTAAAAACAAAGTCCGAAAGTGCCACCAGGAATGTGGAAGATGTGGTCCAACTCCCACTGAATGCAATAGTGCACGGAATGGAGCATGGTAAGCGGTTTATCCTAGGGAGGTTTACTCGGAAGTAAATCCCATTGCTCTCGATGGGTCTTACTCCCAGGTAAGTGTGTTCAGTCTGCAACCCAGGACATCTCCGGGATCGAAGGTCGCCTTCTTTCGCCCAAGCTGATTTTGTTCCAAGAGAGGGGCTTAAAGGAAATAAAGACACGAGAGCAAGCATCCTAGGATCTATGCGTTTGTGTGTGTATATAGACATATACAGAAACACACGCACACTATACACACATCTCAGTTTTATGTCTCGTTTGCTGTTGCTGGTAGATGTGGTTTCTTAAAAAAGAAAAAAAGCGATGATGATGATGGTGGTGAAGAAGAAGACAGTGTCAGTAATGAGCTTTTCCTCCCGGCTTATTTAATTATTTCCCTAGCTTTTCCGTCTCCCTCGCAAAGTAAATAAATTATGCCGATCATTTTGGCAGCTTAAGATAATTTTGTTGGCGGTTTCGGGTGTGACTTCGGATAGTGTAACGGTGTAAGTGAATTACACCCCCCCTTCTTCCTCTCTCTCTCTCTCTCTCTCTCTCTCTCTCTGTCTCTCCCCCTCCTCTCCTCTCTTTCCCTGCAATCGCTCCTAACGTGATAAATTCTTTCATTTGTGTAAGCAAATTTCGTTTGGTAAATACTAAACACATTGCCATTTCCAAAATGCAATCAAGGCGAGCTTTTCGGTGGGGCTTGGCTTTCTCTCCTCTCCTTTTCCCTTCGTTGCCAGCCAGCCGGGCGGAGGGTCCTTACCTGCCGCGTAGGGACTGCTCTGGTGGTCCCTAAGAGTGCCCAGGCTGCAGGATCCGGGCGTGAGGGACGGGCACCCGGAGGTGGCCCCGAAAGTGGTCCTGATCGGGTTATATTGGAAGCCACTCGCTTGGCTGCACGAACTGAAGTCAGCGTAAGCCGAAGCCAGGCTGGACGTATCCATGCCAGCCATACACGACTCGTAGGCGGAGGAATTGAGGTAAGAATATTCCATTTTATACATTGAAAAGGCTCGGGGTGGCCCAGCCAACGGGTTTGGGGGGCTGGCGGCGGGGAAAAGAAGCGGCGCCTCGGATCGGGCTCGCGAAGGGGGGGCCGGGGGTGGGTGGGAGAGCCAAGGCGAGGGAGAGATGCTCACAGCTCGGCTCTTGCTTCCAGAGTGGCCTCCCCGCTACCAGCCGAGCCGAGTTTTATGAAAAAACGGCTCCTATGAGCTGCCTTGCCTGAGGTCTCTAGAGCATATAGTCCTCATAATAAACTTGGCTCTTTCCACTTGGACAATAGCAAAGCGGTTGGTCTGAACGCTGGCGCTTTTTACATGACAATAACTCATCAGTCTATTGGGCTGGCAACTGGGGTGGGGGTGGGGGTGAGGTGGGGGGAGCAAGAAAAGAGGGGAAGAGGAGGGGGGAGAGAGGGAGGGAGGGAGGGAGGGAGGGAGGAAGAGAGCTGTCCAAGTTCCCTCTGGCTGATTCCTGCATCTCTAATTAGAATTTAATACACACCATTTACGTCCCCGAGCCTCCTTTTTCTAAGCAGTCTCCCTGCCCTTTAATTCAATCAGCCTCCTTTGGAAAGAATGAAAGTTGGGTGACGATTTTCCCTGATCGGATTTGCCCAAGCTTTTAAGCCTCCTTCTTAACTGATCATATATACCTTGGAAGAAAGAAGAGTGTGTGTGCGCGCGCAAAGCGAGGTGTCCCCCCCCCCCCCCCGCAACGTTAAAAAAAAATCCTCCCCCTTCTTCTGGCATTATTATTATTATTATTATTATTATTATTATTATTCTAGAGGAAAACCTGGATGTCATCGTTTGAAACCCGCTTTGTAAGAGCGTTACACGCTCAATTTCAATACAAAGAGGCCCCCTGAAGGGCGTGAAATGTGATGAAGGCCCGGACACTGGCAGAACTCGGGCACCCTGTGAAATTGACCGGGAGGGGGCACAGGGGTAGGTGGGGGCAGCGACAGTGGCAGCAGCAGAGGATTCTGCGAGCGAGCAGGTTTCTCCAGAAGGCACCTGGGCCAAGGCAGAGGACCCCTGCCTTTCTTCTCCTCGGATTGATCTTGCCAGTTGCTAATATTGTCGCTGCCCCGGAGCCCCCTTGCTAGGCTGGTGAGTATCCCCCGCCCTTAAGTCAGCCAACGAGAAAAGATTTCCCACGACCAACAGCTGGATTCTTAAACACGACCTTTAGACTCAGGCCTGCATTTAAGCTGCTGATCGGTCCACATGTAAGTTTTCGTGTTTGCTTTTTCTTCCTCCAGATTCTTTTTGCTTCCATTCTCTCTTGCCCTCTCCCGCCTCCTGCTGAGAGGCGAGGCGTCCAGGGGAAAAATGGCGCGAATGTGCATGTGCTCACTAAACCAATTTCCCCGGCCAGAACCAATAAGCCTGTATATATATATGATTATTTTCAGTGGGAGAGATTTCGGCATGCTTCTGTCGAACTCGAGTGCTTAATTTTAATTTATTTATTTTTAACCAGATCCTGCGGTTTCTTGTGTTTCTTTAGTGCAAACTGGAAATTACTAGTATTCACACCTTGGTGCCTTGGTTTTCTCCATGAAGCCAACATCTTTTCCGACTTTACTGGCATACTATATTGCTCTCTTTTAATAATCCTTCTTCATATGCCCTTGTACAAATGATATTATTCACTCAGTCATTCCTTTCTTTCTCTCCCTATCCCATGAACCCGAACTAATCCATTCCATCTCAAATCTTTATTGCAGAGTTCACCGAGCTCCGTTTTGCACGGAGGTCTGCAACCTAGTTGAGGACAAATCTTCTCTCTCCCCACTCCCCCCCAATAATATTCATACAGGGAATTTTCTTTCATTAAAATCTGCGTCTCCCCTGGGCTGGTAGAGAAAACGGCGGGAATAGGAAAAAAAAAGGTAAACTAACTCGTTCTATGCAAAATAAGCCCACCCTGGATATTTCCTAAGATATAACTGTGCGGGTAATTAGCTTCATTACATTCATTACCTCCCTTTCTGTCCTCAATAACAAGTCGGTAATTAAAGTAACAAACTCAGAGTCTTTACAGAGGCCCTTAACCGATCCGCAGTCTTCGCCGAGCGCTAAATGGTTTAATTCCAGGGCGGGCCGAAAGGGGGGACGCGCCGCGCGATGCTGCTGGGTGGCCAGCCCGACCGGCGCGTTTATTACTCTTTCCAAAGGCTGGCGAGCGGGACTTAATGGCCATTACAAGGGAGAAAGAGGTGTGCGTCGGCGAGCAGTCCCCGTGACTCACCGGCGACGCGTAAGAAAGCAGAGGATTCCTGAAAGGACGCCCCACCCGCCCCAGTGAAATCGAGGGCCGAACTCTCGCCGCGCCCCAGGCCGGGCGGTGCAGCGAGAGTTTTAATGGTGCGCGCGCTCCCCCTGCCCCCTTTCTTTTAATGCAATTGCGCTTGGAGGTGGCGCAACGTGCATGGATAAAACGCCAGTCTTGGGATGGGATCCTAGGAGGAGGAACAGGATGCGGCGACTCCCGGACAGGCGAGGAGAGTGGAGAAGGAGGCGGAGAGGCGCGCAGGGCGGCTCTTCATGGTGGGATCAAGTGATTAAGGCAGGCGCAGTAGATAGGGTGGCCTCGCCAGGCTCCAAAGCGGCTCTGCAGGGCCGTCGGCAGCAAAACTTCTGTCTTCGGACACCCACCGAAGTGCTGCAAAGAGTGAGAAGGCTCAAAGGGCGACCGCGAGTTGCACGGAGCTTTCTTGGCCCTCTGGCTCGTAAGTATGAACGCCCAGCCATTCCGGAAAGGGAGAAGCTTGCTCTTGCATCGCCCGCAGCCCCAAGCCGAGTCCGCGGAATGACTTCAGCCCAGTCGCTCTGCCCACCTGTTGAAGGCCTCGATTGATCCACGTGGTCTTGACTGTTTCGACCCGGGCTCGGCCTGCAAGATTAGCGAAGATTGGCCCCGGAGCAACCGCACTAACGAGGCCTGCTTCCTTCGGATGCAGAGCCAAGATAAATTAGGACTGTGGGCCATATTTAGCCTCCTCTCCCAGTGGCATGATTGTTATCTGATTCCTGGCCTACTTCGTGGCACAGGTGACCTTTAAGAACACAAGAAGAGTCCTGTTGGATCACACCAAGTTTTCCAGCTTCTAAATGTCAGCAATGGCATGCTGGATTCTGCCAAGGAGCCTTCAAGTAATGCGGAAGTCAAACATCCCAGCTTCTGGTGTTCAGAGGTATACTGTGCCTCACTGAGGTCCCACTGAGCCATCCCAGCTAACACTCTTTATATTGCAATGTCTTCATGTGTTTGGTTTATCATTTTAAAAAAAGTGAGAGACAGTTGAATTCTACAAGTTAAGCTTGGATTTTGTGAATTGATGTTCCCTTTTTATCACTTCTGCACATAGTGCATATACTTTTTGCTTGGGAGGAGGAGAAATAATCTCACTCTATCCAGTCTTTCCATACTATTGATGATTTTAAACACCTCTGTTGTGCCCTCCAGTCCTGTTAGTCTCTCTCTGAAACTAATGTGGCAAACTAAACCAAAAAGTCGTCACAGCCAGATCAATTCACATCAACATATATGTGATGTTGGGGAAGGTATCTATTATAGAAACATAGAAACAGACTGAGTCAGAAGGGGCCTCCCAAGCCATCTAGTCTGACCCCCAGCTCTAGCTGGCTTCGCTCATGACATGCCTACCATGTGCATTATCTTGCACTTGTGCAGAATTGCAGTTCTGAGATAATCTTGTGTTGTCCTTCACATTCTGCTTTGGATTTAACTACCCTGAGCCATTGATATCATTCACCAGCTTGGTTACCTATCACCCTTGGCTCCTGATTATTTGTGAATACGGTAAATAGCAGTTGGAGGACCCATTCTGAAAGCTGTCCATCCCATCATCTGTTTCCTGTTCTTCAGACCTGCTGTTCTATATAATATGTGTCTTTATGAAAATACAGATTCCTTTTTATTCAGCCAGATAAAATGTATGTACTTTTCAGAATGTTCAGTTTTCCGGTTTATCAAAAATACAGTTAAGGTAGTCAAGCAAAGGTTTGCCTAGTCTTAGGCCAGCTACTTATTTCCTTCCAACATTAATGCAGTCCTGTGGCAAATTAAGCTAAAACCATGTACAATGGGGGGAGGGGGGCTCAAAAGTAAGCTGCATTCATTGAAGACAAAAGCTAACACCATGATATATTTGTCAGTCTTTAAGATATCATAGAAATCCACTGTTTATGTTCCAACAGACTGAGAGAAATGCTCTTCTGAAATATGTCTTCTGTTTGTTTTTCCAAAATTAGCCTACTTGCCAGTTTCATGGCACTAAGGGCATAAGTCAATGCAAAGTGAGATAGAAAAAACCCTACAATTGCCAGCCAGTCATATCTATCCCATTGATTGATAGAGTGATTGATTTATAAACCATCCTTCACTAAAAAGTCCCACACTGCATCTTTGGCTGACAGAACAGTCTATAACAACCTTGTAGTGACACCCTTCTTGCAGGTTGGAGGGCAGTATTGAGAAAGAATGGCTTACAGCAGCCCTATCATTTAGCTGCTGTAAGAATCCCCCTACCTTTTAAGTTGTGGCAGAGATCAATCTACTTAGATTTTTCTATCAGACCACATCAGGCAGTCAGTTCCATGTGGGAACCCATGAGCCACTCAGAGGTGTTAAACCTCTTTCAGGCCAAAGACTGAATGCCATTTTGGACAAATCCGTGGGAAGAGGACAGTCCAGTCTTGGGACCAACATCCAGAAACACCAAGATACACCAGCTGAGAGTACTTGCTGCCTTAGAAGAAGCATTTCTTCTCAGAATGGGGGAAAAACTGCACAAAAGCTGGGAAAACCACCAAATAGCTTGGGACCAGGAAAGGGAAGTGGCCACCTAGGATCCCAGGGAGCTGGTAAGCCTAAGGTTCTTGTACCCCTGCTTTATACAAAGGATGACAAAGCAAAGTTTGGTCAGTGCTCCGTCCTATTCAGCCAGGCGGTTTTGTATGCATTTAGG